GTGATTGCATTAAATATTATATTAACTTAATTTCATTATCGATATTTTATTACATATTTTGATTTACTACTTGAAAAAAAATCAAGAATTGCATTTAGAATAAATTCAAATACGAATTGTATTTAACAATCATTAAGAAATGGCGAAATTTTCATTTAAAAAAAAATATATATATATATATAAAAATAAGATACCATATATACAAATACTTCTTGACATGNTAAATATTTAAATAAATAAAATGAATATGCTTTAATTAGAGTAAATGTAAAGAAACTAAAAAAAAGGATGATCAAGTGATAAACCGAAATCGTACGATACGTTATGTGATAGATGATTTCTCACGAATGCCATAGGTTCGCCACCCCTGATCCAGTCCAACAGACTAAACAATTCGTAAAGAACATAATAGTTCCGAGGAACCGTCTAGCTTAAGGGTTCTGATTGAACGACTCCGTCGGAACAGTTACTCACTCGGATCAATTTAAACGGTTCCCGTTCCGGAATACATATGTTCTTTACACTACAAAGTACAGTGCATAACTATTGATCATTATCAACAATTTCTTAAAAAGTGAAATATTTATAAAAAGAATTTTCTTTGTGGTTACATGTCATGGAGTCGTAGTTCTTATTTCGTTAAATTGCTTTTTGATGAAAACATAAATACCTATGAAAGTGTATACTGTAGAGCAAGTCTTTTTTTTTTTTTTAAATTTTTCCGTATTATGGAATTTTTCCACATATTGTACATTAAAGTTTTTCTAAACGTTACTTGATTACTACGATTCAAAAAGTTATACGTGCTACCAGTATGAAAAACCTTTATTTGGGTGCGTTGTCCTGACATTGATTTGTGGAAAAGAAAATTCAGCAGTCACATCACTAAACACAAAACACATGCTAACTAGAGTACAGTCTTTAAGAAGGGGATCTGAAGATTTTTCCCCATGCCTGGAAAAAATTTAAGGCTCCGTAGTAATTTCTATCCATATAAAATTAATGTTATTTTAATAACAGAAAATAAAATCTTTACACAGCTTTTTATTAAAAAAGAAACATTCCACGTATTTCATTTGTTCAAGGAGGGGAAAAAAAGGATTTAGGAATACAAACACGAAACTAATTTTATTCTAAAAAATTATTGATAAATTTACCTGTCTTCAAATTGCGTGTTAAATTAAATAGGTAAACGTAATCATAATTTTCTCAGTCAAGGTTAATTTAATAATTTTCTCAGATAAGAGATTAAGCTATAAGATAATTTATGCAATTTACTTACGATAAATTTTGTTTAGATAAAAATGACTGGACTTTAATGAATATTGATAATGATATTATTTGTTCTATGATTATAATAAATTTATTATGAAAACATTTTGCTTGAGTCAATATTTTATTTTGCAATTTAATGATTAATTTGATAAATATCGATGCAGTTAAATAAATAATGTTTGGGAAATTTCTGTTATTTTAGAACATACTTTCTAAACTTTTCAAGCTAAATATTAGGTGTTTCTACCTAATATAGTTTTCCTTTTTTTAAAAAAAACAATTGGGTTTCTGTATTCGAGGGAATTGCATATCAATACTTCTTGCGAAAACCCGAAATTACGCGAAGATCCTTAATCAAATAGTCTCAAATCTTTTCTACGTATGCTTAAACACTTATACAACCATTTCAGTTAACAAAATAAATGTTTACATGTGTCTATAAATACAAAGTAATTTATATGAAACAAAAACAATATGGGTAAAAAAAAAAAACAATTATAAAAATTTACTCACCCGTTCGAATCTTATGGAGGATAAAAACTTTTCTTCTATTTTCTGTCTGCTGTTGTTTTTACGGTTGACAGCAGAACATCATCCTCTACCGTCCCTCCAATCATCTGTTTTTACTTTCTCGGTTGTTACATATAACAGAGGGAAAGTATGATTTTTACATTTTTGGAATTAGAACACACTGAAACGTCGAGAAATGGAAAAAAATACAGGGGTAATTTCTGTATAATGGATGTTAGTGAGTGTGTATGTAAGTATGGATGTTTGTGTGTGTGTGTGTGGCACGATAATACCGATTTTACTCGTTATTAGCATGTATAATTTTTTTTATAAAACTCATCCCTACCCTCAAATTTAATCTTTTTGCCATTTTATAATAGTTAAAAATATAAAAATTTTAAAAATAAAATATCATAACAGATGGCACAACTCATGCAGTTTTAAATATTACTGGATTTTTTTCTATTGTATTAAAAGATCTAAACTGATTTTTAAAATGAACTTTTTTCACAAATATGAAATAGATTTTTGTCTGTATCAAAATATCCTTCTTTTTCCATAGAAAATGTATTATATTTTTACACCATTTTGCTGGAGATTGAGTGCAAAACCAAGAAGGTTAATCAGTCTTAAGTTAAAAATTTCTACACGCAATTTCGTTTCTATAATACATTATAATAGGTGATTTTTTTGTAAATTGTTAGAAAGTACAGTACTTTTTCGTACACTAGATGGCAATGCATGTATATTGAGTCTGTTCGCTCGATTAAGATAGTACACGCTTACGTCCATTTTTTCAGTTTTATAATGAGAAATTCTAATAAATTATATGAAATTTACTTAAAAATATCAAAATATTTATTGATATACGTACTAATGTTAAAACTATTCTCGAAAAAGATTTATATTTTAATTCCTCTAAGAAAATTAGCAATAGTAACTTAATTATAGATGTAGAAAATGCTATAAGAAAAAAAAAACACTGCAGCAACGAATTGCTTAACTTTCTCAGCTACATTTAAAACTGCGCGTGGTGCTACCTGTTATAATATTTTATATTAAAAACTTTTTATATTTTTAATTATTAAAATGTAAATGCTAATAACGAATAAAATCGATATTATCTCAGACACTACTCTAGATATGACACACGACTTCTTCTACCTCCCCTCCCGTCGACCTTTAACTATCGAAATTTAATAGTAACAATCCCCTAATATACAAAATATCAGAAATTTTCGACAAAAACCACAGAAGTTACTAAACTTCAAGAGGGTGAACAAAACTCTACCTCCGAAAAATACCCGAATTTTTTTCACATTTCTCGACGTTTCCAGCCATTTGGAACAATACATTTGATGGAGCCAAACAGTTTGAAATTATTTGGCTCCATCAAATGTATCGTTCCAAAGATCAATGTAAGAGAGACATCGATCTTACAAGATGAACTGAAACAAAATCTCAAATCAAGGACCTTTAAACTGTAAAATTTTAAAATAATTTGATATAATATATATGATTTTTTTGTTTGTAAATGAGGAAGAGATAAGAAATAATGAATTGCACGTTATCGGTTTTGATCATGCGAAGCGACACGAAACAGAGAGCTTGATTATAGTCGCTAACTGAAACCTGTTTCTTATCGCTTCCTAACTCTCTCCTTGTGTTGCAATTTATACGAATCCTTCCTTTAAATAGTATTAATTTTAGATACATTGAATAAATAATTATTACATTTTTAAATAGGCCTATTATTTATAAAGAATAATCAATAATATGACAGAAAAAAAACAATACAAATTGACACGTTAAAACACTACTATTTAAAAAAAAAAGGATTTAATTAGACGAATTAGTATATCAGAGAAAGTCCATCCACATTATACAGACCTCTTTTTAATCGCCGGAATTGGAGTTTTCCTCCTCTCTGTAGACAAATTAATTCGTATGTTTGTGTTTGTTTTCTCGTATGTAATATATTAATTTTACAGTTCGTCAACTGACAGGGTATAAGCTCCAATTTCGGCTGCCTTTTGTTAAAAAAAAGATCTTTCATGTGAGCAATTTTTTCGTTATAGAACTAATTCAAACATGTGTTTTAAATTGCTATCTTTAAACATTTTTAAAATAAATAAAAGATGTTGCCCATAATTTAAAATAATAAAAATAAAATTAATATATTTATAAACAAGCAGATGGTATTTAAATTAATACACAGACGCCACGTCATAATGTTCTGTCAGGTATATAAGGATTAAAATTGATTAAAATCCTCGGAAAACAAAATATTTAAGTTAATTTTCCTCCACGGCAAAAATTTGTATTCCAATCGACTAAAAGTGACATCATTTTATGTTCCAGTCGACTGTTTCTACGTATGAGTATTGCATTTAAGTCTTCTTCTAATACAATGCTTTCTCGATTCTAACACGCCATCGAATGTAATGAGCATCCGGTATCGAAAATGCAGCAGTAAAAAGTTAATATTAAAACTAATAATATTAAAATTAAGACAGCAAGAAAGGTTTAAGTTTAAAATTTTGAGCTTTTTAGACCCAGTAGTTTTACTCTACGAAAGTCTGCAGTGCTGGATGAAGAAAAATGAAGAAAATACAGTTTTTTTTTTGGCGATTTTTGTACTTTTCAATTGCTTATATTTCGGCAACCGTATTGCAGAAAATCTTGAAATTTTGCACACTATCTAAGAAAATAATTTTCTTTCGAACGAGATATTCGGAATTACTTCAGGTGTTTGGGGAGCGAAGAAATCGACCCCCGAAAATCGGCAACTCTGATTCCTGTATATCAGAGTTGCCGTCAGTGATATTTTTACTTGGCGGGGAGCCACTGCCGTGACTCCTGATACACAATTATATACATGTATATATTTGTATATTTACTCTTTTATCAATGTACTACAATTATATTACCGGTATTTAATTCAAATATTAAATTATTAATTGAAATTTCTTCATAATTTTGCTTTTGTGTTTAACTTTAAACTATTTTTGGGAAATAAATAGTTCAATAGGAATTATGAAAGACGATTTTATAAGCCATAACACGTAACGTCACAGAACGAAAGGTTAAACAATGGATGTGATTAAATGAAAATTTTCCTTTCTTTTTAAAGCATTTGTTGTATGCAGTTTTTCCTTTTACGATAACATAATACTTTTTATGTATATAATTTTCTTAAGTATAAGTATAAGCAGGGTATAAGTTAAGTATTCATAAGTCTAGGAAAATCGGACGACAGTTGTTGATATTACGTCGAATAATCCGAACTTATATTGGTCAGGTAAGATATAGAATTTGAATATTTACATATTTACTTCTATATAATGAAAATAGCCGATTATTTTTATTAGATTTTAACAGAAAAAGAGAATTTTAAGAAAATTATGAGCCCTGTAGAGAATCAGAATATGACTCACTGGATGCTTTAATAATATAAAGGAGAAGACCTCATCATTACAACATACGTATCTGCATAGGATTAAAGAGTAAGAAGAGTCCTAAGAGGGACGAATTTTTTCCCATCTTTACTAAACTAATTTTAAACTAAAATAAATAGAAAATTACATAATAATAACAATAAACGTTTCCTACATTTGCTTTTTAAATAAGACTTCTGCATAAAAGATAACTTGCGTACTTGAAAAGTACTAAGTAAGTTATGTATTATGTAGGAGTGCTTAAAATTTAAATACGAGGCTTAAAAGTCTAAATCGTTGTTCAAGAGTCGAGAAATTATATAGAAAATATCGAATATTCTCAAGGGAATGCCGAGTACCGAAGCAAGGAAAATGGTGGGATGTGACCAAGGGCGCTAGATAATCCAGGTATGCTCATCCACCAATGTGGTCCATAGAAAGCAGTAACTTGACAAATTTGGCGCATGTAAAATGTATTTATCACAAATTAATTAAAATTCATTTGTAATTTGATAAATACATTTTACTAATAATAAATATAAATTAATTTAGGCTAAATCAGGGATCTAATTTGAGTCTCAAGAGTCAATGGAAGCACCAGTCTTTGCTTTTAGTTTTTTTTATATTATTATTAAATACAGTTATATTGTCATATTGTAATTGCAATTATTTCATTATTGTGTTGTTATATTTTTAATCCAAAATGTTTCTTGTGACCAGTTAGAATAAAAGAAAACAAAAGATAACAAAAACAAAATCAGATTTAAAGAAAACATTTATTTTGATGCATTTTTTGTGTAGTAAATTTTATTTTTGGATTTTGTAATAGTTCTTTGTTGTTTCATATAATCTTACAGTAACAAAATGCTGTATTATTTTTTCGTCAACACACAACATAAAGGTAATGTTGTCTTGCAGTATTGCAAGACAACATTTTGGAGTCGAACAACACGGAATTTTGTTAATTTTCTTTGCTATGCAAACACGCGATGCTACACTAGCAAGCTGCCATCTTTGATTATGACGTAAAAAAGACCAATATGGCTGCACACGTGGCGGAAACGTATGAGCATACCTGGATAATCTAGNTTCTGTCTGCTGTTGTTTTTACGGTTGACAGCAGCCGTGTTATATGGGGTTTACTGTATATATTTTATTTTTTACTTTTTTATATTATAAGGAACTAATTTTTCAGTATTAAATAATTTTTAAAATATTCTTATTTTATTTCAAGCATTTAAATAATGTTATATTAATAATTATTTGCAATATCTTATAATCAAAAATAATTGCGTTGTACTCGTTATTTTTTCAGGAAATTGCAATATCATTTATAAAAGAAACAAATGAGTTTATTAATATAATTTTTCAGCAATCAAAACGAGTCGATAAACATTTTCGTGTCATTAATTTTCAAAAGGGCATAGGACACATAGACCGTACTGTACATTGGAGCACTTGGACACGTCGGGTTGCACCTTTTTTTAATTCCCAAGGAAGTTCTAAAGATTCATATTGTTTTTAAATTTATTATTCATTTTCATCACAGAAAAATGTTTAAAGTGATGACAAAATTAAAATAAAAATATTTGTTATTACCTAGAAATTAGTTCTAGAGAGTCGTGATTGTTCGTTCGGTCGATTACCGAGGTACCACTGTATTTGATTAACGCGATTTTGATATATGCGGTATATATTTAAATATATACTGTATATTTTATATAATGTACGCACGATGTCTTTTTTTTTTATAGTTTTGTATTGTTTCCCCATTTTTATAGTCTACGGGCGACGCTGAAAGGGCGTATAATTTCAAAATCACAAATGACTGTCATGAACGAACTATGAATTTATTTTAAACACTAAGCATTATTTCAACATTAAACATGTATATTAAGATTATTTTTAACAATAAAACAATTAAAAACATAACTTATTAATATCCTTGACGTTCTTTTCGATCACAAGGTCAGTTTCTCAAATTGTCTCTACAATCTTCTTAAAATTTCCATATAGAATAAAGAATTATTTATTGTTACATCGTCATAATGTCGGGCTGCCAGGTTTAATTATATTTTTAATCAATTTAATTTAAAATATATGCTCTCCATCTCAAATTAATAGTGGCTTGCCCCTGTACATCATACTTTTCCTTTAACAATAGAGTCGTGCCGGTTCGATTTTGAAAGTTCTTTAAGTTTAGTAGTAACTTAATATACTGTATTACTATTACGTTTTGTACTTTCACGGCTTTTCAGTGTAAAGATAATTGAAAACTTTATATTTTTATTATAGTTCGTAACTATTTGTTTTTATTATTTACTATCAGATATGAGCGGCATTGACCGGCCAAAAAGTAAGAAGACTAAATGTTAAAATGAAAACCATAATATATATTTGATTATCTTAGCCTACTGCTGTTATATTTATCTCGAACTATCAAGGACAATTAAATCGGGGAAAGAGTGGGGTGTCTAGATTTCATGTAAGTCTACATTTTTTGCAGGGTCTCGAAGAATAAGTATGAAAAATTTGTTACAGATCGGATAAAAAGTTTTGGAGTTAAAAAGGAGAGATGAAATAAGAAAAGGTATAGGTGTTCAGGTTCCATGACTATATATTTTCCCGAGTCCGAGTTATGCAAGAATAATTTCGAGCAGATTGATCAAACAGCTAAGAACAGCGACACAAACATTTTATTGTATAACTTATATAAAACTGACGAGAGACCATTTAGCCCAGGGATGGTGAACCTTTTCGAGTCCGTGTGCCGTATAGTAGACGTAATTATTTTTTAAAACGTTATCCATGCCGAATTTCTAGACTTCGAATGTTTAAATATTTAAATAAATAAAATGAATATGCTTTAATTAGAGTAAATGTAAAGAAACTAAAAAAAAAGGATGATCAAGTGATAAACCGAAATCGTACGATACGTTATGTGATAGATGATTTCTCACGAATGCCATAGGTTCGCCACCCCTGATCCAGTCCAACAGACTAAACAATTCGTAAAGAACATAATAGTTCCGAGGAACCGTCTAGCTTAAGGGTTCTGATTGAACGACTCCGTCGGAACAGTTACTCACTCGGATCAATTTAAACGGTTCCCGTTCCGGAATACATATGTTCTTTACACTACAAAGTACAGTGCATAACTATTGATCATTATCAACAATTTCTTAAAAAGTGAAATATTTATAAAAAGAATTTTCTTTGTGGTTACATGTCATGGAGTCGTAGTTCTTATTTCGTTAAATTGCTTTTTGATGAAAACATAAATACCTATGAAAGTGTATACTGTAGAGCAAGTCTTTTTTTTTTTTTTAAATTTTTCCGTATTATGGAATTTTTCCACATATTGTACATTAAAGTTTTTCTAAACGTTACTTGATTACTACGATTCAAAAAGTTATACGTGCTACCAGTATGAAAAACCTTTATTTGGGTGCGTTGTCCTGACATTGATTTGTGGAAAAGAAAATTCAGCAGTCACATCACTAAACACAAAACACATGCTAACTAGAGTACAGTCTTTAAGAAGGGGATCTGAAGATTTTTCCCCATGCCTGGAAAAAATTTAAGGCTCCGTAGTAATTTCTATCCATATAAAATTAATGTTATTTTAATAACAGAAAATAAAATCTTTACACAGCTTTTTATTAAAAAAGAAACATTCCACGTATTTCATTTGTTCAAGGAGGGGAAAAAAAGGATTTAGGAATACAAACACGAAACTAATTTTATTCTAAAAAATTATTGATAAATTTACCTGTCTTCAAATTGCGTGTTAAATTAAATAGGTAAACGTAATCATAATTTTCTCAGTCAAGGTTAATTTAATAATTTTCTCAGATAAGAGATTAAGCTATAAGATAATTTATGCAATTTACTTACGATAAATTTTGTTTAGATAAAAATGACTGGACTTTAATGAATATTGATAATGATATTATTTGTTCTATGATTATAATAAATTTATTATGAAAACATTTTGCTTGAGTCAATATTTTATTTTGCAATTTAATGATTAATTTGATAAATATCGATGCAGTTAAATAAATAATGTTTGGGAAATTTCTGTTATTTTAGAACATACTTTCTAAACTTTTCAAGCTAAATATTAGGTGTTTCTACCTAATATAGTTTTCCTTTTTTTAAAAAAAAACAATTGGGTTTCTGTATTCGAGGGAATTGCGTATCAATACTTCTTGCGAAAACCCGAAATTACGCGAAGATCCTTAATCAAATAGTCTCAAATCTTTTCTACGTATGCTTAAACACTTATACAACCATTTCAGTTAACAAAATAAATGTTTACATGTGTCTATAAATACAAAGTAATTTATATGAAACAAAAACAATATGGGTAAAAAAAAAAAACAATTATAAAAATTTACTCACCCGTTCGAATCTTATGGAGGATAAAAACTTTTCTTCTATTTTCTGTCTGCTGTTGTTTTTACGGTTGACAGCAGAACATCACCCTCTACCGTCCCTCCAATCATCTGTTTTTACTTTCTCGGTTGTTACATATAACAGANTGAGGATATTTTCAAATATGCTAAACATGTTAATTTATTTATAAACTTATCATGTGGAAAACTGTGGTATGTTTTATAATTTATAAATAATGTAAAGTAGATAGCATAACTTAATTTAGTTGGGCTTCTTATTCATAAATAATCGTTAATAAGAAAACAGTATTTTCAAAATTTTTTTTATTTCAAAAGTTATTTTCACAATTGGTTTAATTCATTATAAATTATTTTATATTTGATCATTCAAAGTTTATTGTGTACTGAATAGGAATACTGGATATTTTTAAGTCAAATCATAAGAGCTTATACTGTATCAAAATTACACATTCACATAATTTTAATTCTGCATACTGATATAGTGGATGATTTCTGGATGTTTTAATGTGTATGGTTTTGTAGAAAATATTAAAAAATTTAATAAAACGAACATAAATTGGCATTTGTCAGAAGTAAATTTACGTCAAATAAAATCGAATGTGAAGGAATAATATTCGTAAATTGGTAAAAATTCTGTTAGAAGACGATAAGGTGAGAATTGAAATGACATCACCGAAATGAAAATACCTCAAGAGAGAGATAGAGTAATGGTGTTTGATTTTAAAGTAGAACTTTTGGAATAATTTGAATCAATTTTAATATTTTTAGTAGAAAACTTTTAAGAGTAGATACATTGGTTTATCAGCAAATAATAAATTTTTAAAAATTTGCGATATTTTTAATCCTGTAAATGTTATATGAATTGAACTTTTAAACTTAACGTTATATGAATTTCATAATAAAAACTTCTAATATTTTATTTGAATTTCACGTTTCGTCTATTAAATATTAGGCCTATATGTCTACTTTTATAAATCAATTAAAGCTATTTTGAATTACCTTAATCTATTTATGTATTGCCACTCTAAACAGAGAATTTATAAATTGTATTGAAGGATTTCATTATATTTAATATCTGTATAATAAAAGAATTATTTTTTAAACTATAATTATAAAATTTTAGGATTTGCATTGACTTTTTCAACTATTCTACTACAATATATCATTTAACTTAATTCATCATTAATAGGCTTTATAATTTTTCCTATCAATCCTTCTTAAATTGATACTACAACTATAAATTTGATTTTCTCAGATAATCTACGAGATAATATTTCTTTTATAATTACACATTCTCTTGCAATCTAGATTCATAAATTCGATATGAATAAGAAGTTGTGAGCAATTGTTACAACGAAATAATATATGATGCCGAGTGAATTTATACGAAGTCTTCCCAACATAAATTCATTCGATATCATGATATTTTCTGTCATCTGTAGTAATATAATAAATTCATTATTGATAAAAACATAACGTTACTCAATTGATAGATGCCATTTTTTGTTGTTTTTTTATACATAAACATTGAAAACAAATGTTCATACATCAAAGTCCATTTCAGATTTTCATTTCAGATTCATATTGTCAGATAATGTTAAGAACGAATGAATAGTAATGAAAATAAATATTTAATTTCCCATTATATATATTTTCATTTGATATTATTTTTACTGTATAAAATAATTTCCCCAAAGAATGCTTCGAAACTGTTAATAACGAACTGCAGTAATATATAATTTCAATGAGATCTAAACCATCCATCAAATTTTAACATTATCTTTTCTGAAGAACTGGCAAAAATTAGAGTCTAAAGTGTAAAAAATTTTTGAAGAATAGGAAGATGTAGTTGCTTTCGTTGCATAGTAAAACATGAGTGAGAATATATTCCTTTAAACTCTGGGAGTTTGTAAAGTCAGGGAAGACGTTATGGTGCACGATAATTTTGAAATAGAATTTGCTGCATACAAATAAAATTAGCATTTACGAAATGACAGATAAGTCAAATATAAAGTTTATCAAATACAGTAGAGCATCGATTATCCGAAAGAATTCCAGTCGGCAAATTTAAATTTTCTCCAGTACTGTGGCGCTGCAATCTTTGGCTATGTCTTGTGCTACTAAAATATTTTACGTTTTTGATACTAAATTAACTTCTGAAGTATAATTTTTTATAGTTTTTATATNCATATTGTAATTGCAATTATTTCATTATTGTGTTGTTATATTTTTAATCCAAAATGTTTCTTGTGACCAGTTAGAATAAAAGAAAACAAAAGATAACAAAAACAAAATCAGATTTAAAGAAAACATTTATTTTGATGCATTTTTTGTGTAGTAAATTTTATTTTTGGATTTTGTAATAGTTCTTTGTTGTTTCATATAATCTTACAGTAACAAAATGCTGTATTATTTTTTCGTCAACACACAACATAAAGGTAATGTTGTCTTGCAGTATTGCAAGACAACATTTTGGAGTCGAACAACACGGAATTTTGTTAATTTTCTATGCTATGCAAACACGCGATGCTACACTAGCAAGCTGCCATCTTTGATTATGACGTAAAAAAGACCAATATGGCTGCACACGTGGCGGAAACGTATGAGCATACCTGGATAATCTAGCGCCTTAATATGATCTACACGGCCTTTCGGTTCTCGGCCTTACGGGAGTAACGTAGTCATTATAAAAGTTTTAAGTATGGAAGTTGGTATAGCATGCCATGCTTTCTCCAAAGTCTTTTACTAAACTGTATTGTTTGAAATCATCGTAAACAGTTCTTGAGAGCACACTCTAGATATTCTCTATTGGGTTTAAATCAGGAGATTGAGGTGGATGATCCAACAGTTAGACTTATTTTTTGCTGAAACCAATATTTTGTAGTGCAAAATAAATGGATAGGTGTATTGTCTTGCGTAAAATAAAACTTTCTGCCTTCTAATTTTTGTACATTTAGAAGTAAAGTAATTTCAATTAGCTTTTGATACTTCTTTGAATCCATTCGTCCATTTATGAATTCAATAGATGACTTTCTCGTACAAGAAATGGCACAAATAATAGAACCAGCCAACTGTAGTCCAGATAAAATCCTCTCTTCTTTGCGCAAATAATGAAAATAATAATTCAGACCATCTGGACCATACAAATTAAACTTTTTTTCATTTGAAACAAATAACCTATTACCATTCTATGACATTTGATCTCACGCAGAAGTCAATCTTGCAGTTTTATGTTTTTTAGTTAGGGGAGGTTTTCTTTTCAATTTCTTTCTTTTAAGACGTCCTGATGATTTTATCTCTCTTTTGAACGGCACAGGAATGAACTTTTAACTCTAATTGACTCACAATTTTTGATGCTGATGTCACGCTGTTGCTTGCAACCCTCAAAATTTGCCTCTTATCTCTTGCATTAAACTTAGGTCTTCCATTATTCTTTTTCGAGTTGTATTTATCACCTATTTTTTTAAATATAATTGTATACAACAGTGTGACTCCTTCCTATTTGGGTAGCTACACCATCATAGTTTTGTAACTGTAGCCATAAAATTTGTACTTGTTCTTTCTCTGCCAGTTTTATACCTTTTCACATGATTTTTTGTACACAAATATATACAGATCTCTACTTTTTTTAAAGCGTAAGAACATGATTGAACCAATAATTTTAATGAAATTAATTGTTTAGGTGAAATTTTTGCTTGTCTTTAAAGTTTTATCTACCACCACGTATATCAAATTGTTATTGTATTTTTTAAATTTAAAATTCGATGAATAATTCTCAAATAAATAAAAATTTTCTGCATTGTATTACGTAGATACGAAAGAAGTCTTATCACGCTATTGTGTTATTATTTTCAAAAATAAAATATAATTTTCCTTGCATCATTCGTACTCGATTAATGAAGGTCAAAAATTATTATTGTTCTTGAAAATAAATTTTCATTTTAATATGAATGTTTACAGTACAGTACTTCCTTCATAGTTAATATAAACTTATTCGTTGCATTACTGCTTAGGAATATATCCTTTAAAGGCATTATTATAAGTGTTTATAATTAAGATAATTGGAATTTGTAATGCTTAATATTACGCTAAAATTATGAATTTATTAGTGAATAAGTAGTATTTTAAAGTGCTTTAATGATATTTAAAGAAATTAGGAAGTTATAGTATAAGGTATAGTGTATTACAAACAAGTAAAAAATATATAATTAGGTGTTTTCTAGATTATCGAGTTTGAATCTTCGATCCTAAAATCCTATTAATTGGCCGTCAAATTGATATTAATTTGACAATAAAAATAAAAAATAAACATGATAATTTATATAATTATATAGATTAGGTGTAGAATAAGTAATATTTATCTTATGTTTACAGGAAGAAATATGAGAAAAGGTTATGTATCAAACATATCATCCTTTATCTTCTATCGAATTGGCTGTCATATTGGAAGACATCCTCAATGGTACATCGCATCCTTTATCCTATTAACAGGAATTCTAGCAACTGGAATGTTAAACTTAACTGTAGTAGAAGATATAGAATATCTGCTCACTCCAATTAATGCAAGATCTCTCGTAGAGAGAAGATCTATCGAAACTCAGTTTCCACAGAAATTATCAAATTACTATTTTTCTAGAATGCTGAATATTCGTGGAGTTAACTTTGTTTTGATTCTACCAAAAAATAATAAATCGATGATGGACGAAACTGTTATCGATGATGTTCTAAAACTTGATGAAATTATTCAAGATATCAGTATTTTCTGGAACAGCTCTTTCATTCGTTATAAACATTTGTGTGCTAAGATGATAAATAATAGATGCTATGAAAATTCTGCAGTTACTTTAAAAGGAAAAATTGAAAAAATGAAAAAAGGAGAATATCTTGTCAAGTATGTTGTGAAATTTTCCATTATTTCTATTCTTTAAAATTTAATAATTTTATACTAAAATAGATAATTTATATTGCCTTGTGTAATTCTTTAAAAATTCGTTGTAACATTAAGAAACTTTGTAAATACAGTCGACCCCCTATAACACTGTTAATTATTCCGTTTTATATGAATTCCATGTTGTACGAGTCACTTAGATTTAACAAATACGTGTGCTGGGTTGTGAACGGCTTACGTATTTGTTAAATCTAAGTGACTCGTACAACATGGAATTCATATAAAACGGAATAATCAACAGTTTTATAGGGGGCCGACTGTACTTAACAACATTACCATCGATAGAATGAATGACTTTTTTAGAACATGGTATCGTTATAATTAATAACATCTTTCAGAATATTAACTTTATTTTACTCTTTTTCCTCTGTGATTATTAGAGAACTTTTTCCATGTTTGTCTTTGTTCGGCCGGGGTGGTCGGGAAGTGAGGATCTGGCCTGTTATATCCGAGACAGACTACTTACTGCTGGATTCAATTCCGTATTGTCATAGTGGTAGGCTGATGCTTTAATCGCCTCGGCCATCTGGCGCGGCAATCGAATTATTTAATGTTTATATAGGCCTATGTTAAAAGTGAATTAGATCAATGTGTATATAGGGATTATAATTCTTATTTATTATATATATGAATCCAGTATGTGCATAATATACTAGTATATTAAGATGCAAGATGATAAGTTGATATATAACCAGTGGCAAGATGAGAGCTAGTTACAATTTTTGAAATTATGATGAACGGTAAATAATGTTTTACACATTAAAAGTTACGACTTCAATTAATTTTTATTTGTTTCCTTAAATTCCTGTGTAAGTTTATTGACTGTTGATCGGTTAAATTAGATTTATTATATAAATTCACTTGGCCCCATGAAGAATTAACTTCACCAGGGACAAAAGGTAAAAAGTTTGTTCGAATAAATGATTTGAAATTCAAAATAAATATAAATGACAATATTTTGTAAAAACGATAGATTCATAATATTTTGTGAATGAGATAATGGGAAATATATTTTCTAAACATTATTAGAAATACAGAGTGGAAAGAAAGTCACTTAACATCCCAGCTACAGAGTATGGAATGCACCAAAGTTAATTCGCTGACACATTAGACCAAGGCGAAAACAGATTAATGTGTGCTACACGCACAGCCGCCATCTTAATGACGGCCATATTGAATGCTACTACGAAAATGTAAATGAAAGGGGATCATGTGATACATCATTTAGGATCAGAATTTTACAAGGAATTGATTACTGAAAGATTTTATTGACCTACCTCGAACGGTTACAGAGTTTTGCACGTTACATGATGTGCTCAATGTAGATACAATATATTCTTTGTGTTTATTCTACATTCTGTAATAAGGATATTAAGTGACTTTCTTTCCCACTCTGTATATGATGCAGCCAAATAGGAACACAACTTTGTACTAGTAATTTTACCCAAGAAGTTTTCTGTAAAAACTGTTGTTAAACAATGGCAACTGGCCTATATAATTTAACCAAAACGAAGAAAATGGCCCAACAAATGGGGACTGTCACTAATATCGAACGTTTGATGGTGAAAAATTATACGTCCGGATAGCTGAGATAGCTTCGACTAATCGGTCTGCCGCTCTGAGTTGTAAGGAAACTGGGTTGAGTCTGGAACCTTATAAATTTTTCAGGGAGATGATCAGTCTCGGATATATCGTGTCTCGCCCCTCACTAAATTAACCAGCTTTATTGTGGGCCTGGCTGAATTCACAGTGAGCATGGTTAAAAGGCTTTTTAGTATATTCCTTCATCGTATCACGTTTTTTTCCCCTTGATTTGGAGAAGAGTATCGAGATATGAAGATCGACTCCTCCATCTAATCGTTTATCGTGTAATGTGAAAAAGGACGAATGTGCAGTAAATATCGACGATATCCAATGATATATCGTTTAGTCTATCTACAGGATATAATTACCGGTTATTTTATAATAGTCTATACGACTATATGTTCCCAATTCATTTTACCTCTATTAATACCATTACTTTTATTTTTTTAACAAAAACATTCTTCTATTATTATATATATAATAAAACAAAGTTTATTATAAAATGATTTATTTAAACATGTTTATGCATTGAGGAATGGATTTTTTTTTGCAAAATTCGCAGATATATTAATCTGTCTTTCTACGTATATATTCATCATCCTGAACATTCAAAGTAGTTTCAATCAGTGCAACGTTAAAATCTCACTCATACTTTACTGTGACAATCTGATGACCACATTCTTCCACAAAACTTGTAGACAGCATCACTTTCAGTGTGATAAAATCATTAAAATAGTTTTTGAGAATATTTTTACTACTCCAAAAGCAAAGGTACAGTAGATGCCATCCATCGGGTCGTTAACTATATCCACCAGGCTAAACAAAACAATCAGCATATAGTAATTATCACTATTGACTTTAGAGGCGCCTTCGATCACGCCTGGTGGCCTTTTATCCTGCACACATTACATGCTCATCATTGCCCTCAAAATCTTTACAAACTTCTTCAGTCTTATCTTAGCAATGGGAGTGCAGGTGTTTATACAACACAAAATAACATAGTCATACCCATCACTCGAGGCTGTCTTCAGGGATCCAGGTCTTTGGAACATAGCCTATAACTCTATTCTGCACTTAAACGACAACCTGCCTCCTGGTTGCCGAATACAGGTCTATGCGGACGACACAATTATCCAATTAACACAGACAAATGCGAAAGCATGATAGTTGGTAGGAACACGCCACTCGTCAGGAAGCTTACCTTTCGAATAGGTGCTCACAGAATAAAGCAAATAACGAAAATTAAATATTTAGGTGTTATTCTTAACAAGAGACTTAACTTCACATCCCACATCAAATACATCACGGACAAAAGCTAAAAAGACGGCCAACGCCATTATTAGTGCTAGGAACACGATTCCTTGGCCCTAACGCTACTAAGCTTATTTACTGGGGTGCAATTCAGCCAGAACTCCTCTGTGCCATGCAAGTCTGGGGCTACGTGGCCGCCAAAGTCCATAACCGTAAAAAACCGTTAACTGTTCAAAGGATTGCATCTCCCGCATTTGTAAGGCTTATAGGACCGCACCCACTAGTGCCCTTTTGGTAATGTCAGGATTGACCCCTATCGACTTAAAAATTAAACGCATTATTTGGCAGAAAAATCTCGTTACTTTACCCTGGCGAAATTATAGCGACTCGGATGTCGACAGAATGATTAGAGTAGGTAAGATTCCACCCCCAGTTTGACCTTGATCGATGATATCAAAAAGTTCAACATCGACTAAAATACCCTCCCGACTTACGATTACCACCCCTCTCATCAGCTTGCCCCTGACGTATACTTCGAAGATCCAGATGATCATTTCATATTTAGGATTTACACTGACGGTTCCAAGATGGATGACGATGGAGGTTCAGCTTTTGTAGTTTACTCAGGCTGCGAGCTTCACAACGCTTCCTTCCATCTAAGTACTGTACACACTGCTCAATAGTACAGGCAGAAACTTTAGCTATTTATATGAGCTTAATTCACATTAAGCATAGGAAAGACAAAAGACACTACTTACACTATAGCATTTATTCTGACAGTAGGGTAACTTTACACAGGATTGCGAAGTCTGATAGCTGCTTAAAACTCGTCCATCTCATACACCACATTCTCAGACACTTAAACAACAATATTAGAATAGATTTCCAATGGGTTCGTGTAATGCGGGCATTCTCGGCAACGAGACCGCTGACCATCTTGCCAAACAAGCTGCAAAGTCTTCAATCACTAGTATTTTCAGTTACATTTCTATCTCGCACATAAATAATCACGTCAGAAGCAAATCTTCATTCTATGGCAAGACAGCTGAAACTGTGACACCACTGGTAGGCTTACCTAAATATTCATCCCCATGGTTGACACTACTGCGATTCTTCGCCACTTTTACTCTAGTTACTCCCTCACTCGCTACTCGTACTTACAGGACACGGCAACTTTAAGCAATACTTGCATAGATTTAACCTTAGTGACAATCCACAATGCGATTGCGGTATTCAAGAGGACCAAACACCACTTCACTTCGTTTTTCGCTGCAATAAGTACCATCACATTAGGGATAGTTTAATGAGAGCTGCTATTCTTGAAGGGTACAATTGGACTTGCAACCCGCACCAACTTATTCACACGCGTACAATGTTCCATTATCTCCTTGCATTCATATCCCTTAGTGCGGCTCTTGAAAGCACTCACTCTGGGGGCACGGATGGCAATTAGCCTTGCTTTGTTTCAACTGTTGTATATAGCTGCCTTTCAACTTTGTATTTTAATTTTTATTTTCCGTCTTCTTTTTCAGTCTACATTCGGTTAGTCCTAGTTGTAAGTTAGATTAGGGACTCTTAGCTTGGTTTCCAGTTAGATTATGGTAGGTTAGTTTAGTTAGTGAGTAAGTTAACGTTTAAAAAATATATATAAATAAAAAATAAATAAAATAAAATAAAAATAAAAATTTGGGGTCTTGCTAGTTTATCTCTGTCGGTCTGTTAGGCTCGTATAGTTATTTTATGTCTAGTGTCGTTATGTTCGTTTGTTTCACACTGTCTATCTATCTGTTAACAGTATTAAGATTCGTGCTCGCGTTCAGTTTTATTAGTATTAAGTAGATATAATTCTTTCTATTAACAGCCACTTGGCATTAACTTCTACACTTAACTATTCGTGACGGCACTCAATTATTGGTGTTCGCTACACTCAGGCTTTCTTTTAGACACTTCTGGCGACTACGGCATTGCAGCCTAAAAACTGCACGTCAACATCAAACATAGAGGGTACTGTATCCTTACGTACAGTACGCCGTTCAGAGGAAATCTACCTTTGTCTACGTCTGTCTCTTCTCCCTCCTTCTTCCCCCTTCCCTTATCCTCTTTTCTACCGGCTAAACACTTCGTGTACAGCCGATGTCTTTCTTGTATGTATGTATGCTCTATTCCATCTTCTCACTCATAGATTCTATGGCTTTAGACATGGATTCTGATGCCATGCTAGTTTCTTCTATTTTTTCTTCCATCGTCTGATATTGTTTTTATCCTAAACATGAAAAAAGACCTAATTAGTCGAATTCAAAATGATATTCAAAAAAGTGTAGATTCTAGTTTGGAACGCTGGGAATGAGAAAAAAAGGCAATATTTTGGAACAATGAAAATCCAGCAACACGTTGCTTAACTTTTCCGGTAACATTTAAAACTTTGCTAGCGCCATCTGTTATGATATTTTATTTTTATATTTTTAACTATTATAAAATGGCAAAAACTTAATTTTGAGGGTAGTGATGGGTTTTTTAAAATTTGTAAATGCTAATAACGAGTAAAATCGTCATTAAGAACGACCCTACTACAGATATGGCATACTTTCCTCTGTCTCCCCACTTCCTCAACCTTTAAACATCAAAATTTAACAGCATTAATCCCCTAAATACACGAACCTCTGTAAAATTTCAAAAATTTTCGACGGAAAGCATAAGAGTTAAGCTTCAAAAACGGAGAACAAAAATCGTGCTCCTCACACAAATTTACTAACATCCATATAGAAAATAATCTCCAATATACTGTATATATATGAATATATATATTCATTTCTCGACGTTTGAACGTCCCCTGTGTCCAAAAATGTAAGAATCTTCGGAGACAAGCATATTTTAGTCTATACTTTCTTTCTGTTAAATATAACTGAGGCCCGCCCAGTGGCCGAGTGAATAAAACCACTAAACACTGGTAGTTGGTCATGGGTTCGCGCCCCGACAACCGACTTGTCACGTGTTTTCAGGGTTTTCTTCACCCAGTGGCGTTTTCTTTAAAAGATCCACCCTTGGCAGATCGCCCATGTGTTGCGTTTCCGTAAGTAAACAAAATGTACACTCATTGCCATAGAAATTAGAGCATCAAGGAGTTTTCGTATCGCTGTGAAACTTGGTATGTAGACAAGTCTCAGGAAGATATGGAAATGATTAGTTATAACATGATAACTCATTGTGTAATGCTAGCAGAGGGCGTTAAAGTGCGTTTCCCTTGGCATATAAAAAGTGGGCAAAGGCATCCTGTCAATAGTTTACCTGTTTCAGAAGGAGAGTATCACTAGAGATGCAATCGAATACGATATGAACAACTAACCGAGTTTGAGATGGGAAGGATTATCGGGTTGAGAGAAGCCAGATGGTCGCCGAATAGCCCACACTTTTGTGGGATCAATGGATAAGAGAGAGCTCGCACACACGGCGCCTAGGCTCGGGACGCCCTCGACAGATCACACTAGTCGAGAGGACCATTTGGTTTTCCTACAAGCACGCACACACGACCGTATCGTTGTCTGCCATCCTGACAGTCGATACCATCATTACAGGACCCTGTGTCTGTCCGAACCATTTTGAGGCGCTTGGATGAGGACCATTTGGTGTGTCTCAGCAGCCATTACGTATACTGCCATTCACACTACCCACCGTCGCATCCATTTGGAGTGGTTTCGCTTCCAAGGGGATTGCACCACAACGGAATGGAACCGGGTCGTCTACAATCCAGATTCAGTTTGGGCACTGATGACGGCCGTGTTCGTGTCTGGAGGCCCATGGTGAACGCCTCAATTCTACTGACGCTTTGGAGCGGCACACCGCCCCCACATCTGGTGTGATGGTCTGGGGTGCCATCACATACGACAGCCAGTCATCTCTAGTAGTGATCCAAGCGACCACGACAGCCCAGAGGTATGTTAGTGACATCCTGCTGCCACATGTGTTGCCTCTCGTAGCAGAGCTCCCAAGAGCCATTATCCAGCAGGCCAATGCTCGACTACATACATCAAGGGTGCCACAGGACTGCTTTCGCCACATTGCCACACTTCCTTGACCCGCCCGGTACCCTTATTTGTCACCAATCGAACATGTCTAGGATCACCTGGGACTTCAAGTTAGACAATCTAGGAGTTTGGACGAACTAGAGGACAGCTTGCAGCAACTGTGAACTGTGATGCCATAGGACACCATACGGCACCTGTATGCCTCCATGTTCGCCCGTATCACATCGTGTATTCACGTAGAGGTGGCCCAACAGTGTATTGAAACCGCCTTTCATTTCTAGTTTTTCTTGGAATAAATGATCCTTTTACTTTCATTTTGTAATTGTTATTTATATCAGTTACAATTTCATTCGATTTACTTTTACTTTCCAAAAAAGAAAATAAAAATGCAATTCGTCATAGACCAATAAAGATTTAGCGCAGTAGTAATTTCGCTAAACAATTTGCATGAGAAATATATTTTAATAACGAGTTAAAACTAAACTAAAATATTTAACATAAAATGTTTTGTAAGAATACTCTAATACTAATATTTTTATTTTATAAAATCATATTCAAATAATGACTAACATTTTTTGCATAATAGATATCCTATTGATTATAAAAGAATGAAAGTGACGGGTAAAGAATTTGGAGATGTCAAAGTTAATAAAAATAATTACATCGAAGAGTTTTCGGCAGTTTCTTTACACTACATGCTGGATTGTAGAACTGAAAAAAATAATAAATTATGTACAACTTGGGGAGAAAAGTTTATATCTACATTATTGAAAACCAATTTAGAACATATAAAAATTTATATATTTTCTGACAAAGGAATCGCGGAAGAAATGAATAAACAAACTAAAACAGTGACTATGCTTTGCATTAAAGCAGCTATTCCTATTTTATTAATGTTTGTATTGATATCGAATTTATCTTCAAATATGATAACCAGCAAGCCATGGCTAGGTATAGCTGGTATTATTTCAGTTGGGATGTCTGTGATATCTGCTTTTGGACTATTACGATATTTTGGAATCGAATTTGTAAATTTAAATATGTCAGCTGCACTGTTATTGCTTGGTAAGTAATCCTTTATTATCTTACATTTTCACAAGTAACATGTATAGTAAATTTTTTTTAATTTCATAATTTATAATGCTTACATTTATTTATTTGATTAACCTATATATATATATATTATGTATGTTTTCAAAGTCGTCTTTTATTCAATTATTTATTTGATTTCCTTGAAGTATTCTTTGANCAGCCACTTGGCATTAACTTCTACACTTAACTATTCGTGACGGCACTCAATTATTGGTGTTCGCTACACTCAGGCTTTCTTTTAGACACTTCTGGCGACTACGGCATTGCAGCCTAAAAACTGCACGTCAACATCAAACATAGAGGGTACTGTATCCTTACGTACAGTACGCCGTTCAGAGGAAATCTACCTTTGTCTACGTCTGTCTCTTCTCCCTCCTTCTTCCCCCTTCCCTTATCCTCTTTTCTACCGGCTAAACACTTCGTGTACAGCCGATGTCTTTCTTGTATGTATGTATGCTCTATTCCATCTTCTCACTCATAGATTCTATGGCTTTAGACATGGATTCTGATGCCATGCTAGTTTCTTCTATTTTTTCTTCCATCGTCTGATATTGTTTTTATCCTAAACATGAAAAAAGACCTAATTAGTCGAATTCAAAATGATATTCAAAAAAGTGTAGATTCTAGTTTGGAACGCTGGGAATGAGAAAAAAAGGCAATATTTTGGAACAATGAAAATCCAGCAACACGTTGCTTAACTTTTCCGGTAACATTTAAAACTTTGCTAGCGCCATCTGTTATGATATTTTATTTTTATATTTTTAACTATTATAAAATGGCAAAAACTTAATTTTGAGGGTAGTGATGGGTTTTTTAAAATTTGTAAATGCTAATAACGAGTAAAATCGTCATTAAGAACGACCCTACTACAGATATGGCATACTTTCCTCTGTCTCCCCACTTCCTCAACCTTTAAACATCAAAATTTAACAGCATTAATCCCCTAAATACACGAACCTCTGTAAAATTTCAAAAATTTTCGACGGAAAGCATAAGAGTTAAGCTTCAAAAACGGAGAACAAAAATCGTGCTCCTCACACAAATTTACTAACATCCATATAGAAAATAATCTCCAATATACTGTATATATATGAATATATATATTCATTTCTCGACGTTTGAACGTCCCCTGTGTCCAAAAATGTAAGAATCTTCGGAGACAAGCATATTTTAGTCTATACTTTCTTTCTGTTAAATATAACTGAGGCCCGCCCAGTGGCCGAGTGAATAAAACCACTAAACACTGGTAGTTGGTCATGGGTTCGCGCCCCGACAACCGACTTGTCACGTGTTTTCAGGGTTTTCTTCACCCAGTGGCGTTTTCTTTAAAAGATCCACCCTTGGCAGATCGCCCATGTGTTGCGTTTCCGTAAGTAAACAAAATGTACACTCATTGCCATAGAAATTAGAGCATCAAGGAGTTTTCGTATCGCTGTGAAACTTGGTATGTAGACAAGTCTCAGGAAGATATGGAAATGATTAGTTATAACATGATAACTCATTGTGTAATGCTAGCAGAGGGCGTTAAAGTGCGTTTCCCTTGGCATATAAAAAGTGGGCAAAGGCATCCTGTCAATAGTTTACCTGTTTCAGAAGGAGAGTATCACTAGAGATGCAATCGAATACGATATGAACAACTAACCGAGTTTGAGATGGGAAGGATTATCGGGTTGAGAGAAGCCAGATGGTCGCCGAATAGCCCACACTTTTGTGGGATCAATGGATAAGAGAGAGCTCGCACACACGGCGCCTAGGCTCGGGACGCCCTCGACAGATCACACTAGTCGAGAGGACCATTTGGTTTTCCTACAAGCACGCACACACGACCGTATCGTTGTCTGCCATCCTGACAGTCGATACCATCATTACAGGACCCTGTGTCTGTCCGAACCATTTTGAGGCGCTTGGATGAGGACCATTTGGTGTGTCTCAGCAGCCATTACGTATACTGCCATTCACACTACCCACCGTCGCATCCATTTGGAGTGGTTTCGCTTCCAAGGGGATTGCACCACAACGGAATGGAACCGGGTCGTCTACAATCCAGATTCAGTTTGGGCACTGATGACGGCCGTGTTCGTGTCTGGAGGCCCATGGTGAACGCCTCAATTCTACTGACGCTTTGGAGCGGCACACCGCCCCCACATCTGGTGTGATGGTCTGGGGTGCCATCACATACGACAGCCAGTCATCTCTAGTAGTGATCCAAGCGACCACGACAGCCCAGAGGTATGTTAGTGACATCCTGCTGCCACATGTGTTGCCTCTCGTAGCAGAGCTCCCAAGAGCCATTATCCAGCAGGCCAATGCTCGACTACATACATCAAGGGTGCCACAGGACTGCTTTCGCCACATTGCCACACTTCCTTGACCCGCCCGGTACCCTTATTTGTCACCAATCGAACATGTCTAGGATCACCTGGGACTTCAAGTTAGACAATCTAGGAGTTTGGACGAACTAGAGGACAGCTTGCAGCAACTGTGAACTGTGATGCCATAGGACACCATACGGCACTTGTATGCCTCCATGTTCGCCCGTATCACATCGTGTATTCACGTAGAGGTGGCCCAACAGTGTATTGAAACCGCCTTTCATTTCTAGTTTTTCTTGGAATAAATGATCCTTTTACTTTCATTTTGTAATTGTTATTTATATCAGTTACAATTTCATTCGATTTACTTTTACTTTCCAAAAAAGAAAATAAAAATGCAATTCGTCATAGACCAATAAAGATTTAGCGCAGTAGTAATTTCGCTAAACAATTTGCATGAGAAATATATTTTAATAACGAGTTAAAACTAAACTAAAATATTTAACATAAAATGTTTTGTAAGAATACTCTAATACTAATATTTTTATTTTATAAAATCATATTCAAATAATGACTAACATTTTTTGCATAATAGATATCCTATTGATTATAAAAGAATGAAAGTGACGGGTAAAGAATTTGGAGATGTCAAAGTTAATAAAAATAATTACATCGAAGAGTTTTCGGCAGTTTCTTTACACTACATGCTGGATTGTAGAACTGAAAAAAATAATAAATTATGTACAACTTGGGGAGAAAAGTTTATATCTACATTATTGAAAACCAATTTAGAACATATAAAAATTTATATATTTTCTGACAAAGGAATCGCGGAAGAAATGAATAAACAAACTAAAACAGTGACTATGCTTTGCATTAAAGCAGCTATTCCTATTTTATTAATGTTTGTATTGATATCGAATTTATCTTCAAATATGATAACCAGCAAGCCATGGCTAGGTATAGCTGGTATTATTTCAGTTGGGATGTCTGTGATATCTGCTTTTGGACTATTACGATATTTTGGAATCGAATTTGTAAATTTAAATATGTCAGCTGCACTGTTATTGCTTGGTAAGTAATCCTTTATTATCTTACATTTTCACAAGTAACATGTATAGTAAATTTTTTTTAATTTCATAATTTATAATGCTTACATTTATTTATTTGATTAACCTATATATATATTATGTATGTTTTCAAAGTTGTCTTTTATTCAATTATTTATTTGATTTCCTTGAAGTATTCTTTGAAAACTTAACAATTTATCACATTTGCTCATTTCCTTTCAACAATTCTCTGTTGCTTTTAAAACATATTCAATGAAACTTTCAGCTGGAACATAAAAGAATACATAATATATTTATCAATGTTTGGAAATTCATTAAACAGTAAATCATTTGCAGCTAAGCAGTAGATATCATATTCATTCCGTTGGGTATTTCTATTATGGACATCAAAAATTTTTTTAGTCCTAATCATAGTAGAACTGACAGCTGAATGATAGAGCAGATGTAGTGTATTTCTACCAGAACCCGAAATTAATCCTGACGTATTGAAAAACTCCAAGAACTTTCCGGGGTTAGTCCATCCTGGATATATCGGCTCTCGTCGTCTCTCACAACTCGATTGCTCCATTCGAGTCTTAGTACTATCGGTTTGATAGAAAGGCCTTCTCATTGCGAACAGGGCTGAGAGTCAAAAATCATAGTAGACTAATAATTATTGTTACGAAAATAAGAATTAAGAAAATGATAGTTTATGAAAATAGACCAGGAAATTAGTTCTGATTTCGAACAGTTACAGAGACAATAAAAGAATTTAATTATCAAAATTTAACAAGAGTTTAATTTAGGCTGTTGCATTGAACCCGTATTCCTCTATTTGAAAAGATTTACATAAACTCGAAATTGGATTAAAGCTTTGTTGCAATTTCCAAAAATAGTACGAAACTATTCAGACGTAAGAAACTATTCACAAATAAAAGAATACATAAATTAATACACTATTCTTAAAATTAAAAGATTTTATAATGAAATAGATAACATATTTTTAGTTTATTATTATTAATTAATTATAAAAATATCCAGCAACGAGTTGCATAACTTACCCAGCTGTTATGAGATTTTATTTTAAAAATAACTTTTATATTATTAATCATAATATAAAATTGTTTGTGGCATTATCTATTATGTGATTTTGTTATAAAAATGTTCTGTTTTTAATAATTATAAAATGACAAAACGCTTAATATTGTTTAGGGTAGATATGAGTTTTATAAAAAAAAAAAAAAAAAAAAAACTGTAAATGCTAACGAATAAAGTCTTCGTTTAGTCCGACCCCATTTGAGATATAATACGTGACCACCGATTATCTCTCCACTTTTAACCACAAAAATTTAATATCATTAATAACCTTATACATAAGATACCGTGCCAAATTTCGTTTCTTAATCTTTCCCCATCCTAGATATTAAACAAAATAGATGCCAAGACACACACACACATACATAAGTACTACAGTACTTACATGCACATTCACGGAATTCTTCTGCCGTTTTTCGACGACTTTTGATTGAAGAAATCTCAAAATGTAGAGATTTAGAACAAATTCGGAGGGTCAAATTTGCCACGATACTTTTGGAAGTGGAAGTAATAATAATGTAAGTGGTAAAGTATTAATGTAATGGTAAGTGGAAAAGTAATAATATTTTTAGAATTGTTCGTCTCTTGAATTTTCATAAATTTAGAAAATAAACAATTGTAGAAATAAGATATTTTTAATCAAAATAACCTTTTAAAAACTTTAATTTCTTTTTCTACGTTAACTTTTCGATTTAATGAGGATTTTTTGTAATGGTCTATTGTGTGACACACTCCTAAATTCAGTTATTTTATGAGAGAAGAATTTTAAAATTAACTAAAAGTAATATTTTTTCTGTGGCCCGTGATCTTATGAGCATAAAGGGCTAATTTCCAATTGTCAAACCAATGTTTTATATGAAAATATTTCCCCCAAAAATTTCCCGAAGAAATTTATCTAATGTCAATACTGTATATGTGGCTCCCTAATTTAAATTTTCCTGGTCCCTTAAACCTATAACTAGACACTGTGTTCCTTTCAGAGAAAATTTAGTATTTATTGTTAAAATAAAAGAAAAAAAAAACAAATGTTCGCATTTCAGGCAGCACAAAAACCCGAATTTACATACTGCACAAATTATAGGTATTTGTATTAAAATAATTTTAGTTAATACTAATAATTGCTTTTTGTTATGTATGCTATTTATTATTTAATGTGTTTATTTTCTAACATACAAAGTAGAGTATGTTTATTTAAAAAAATACATATTGCTAATTATATACTAATGCAAATTATTTATTTTTTTAAGGTGTTGGAGTCGATGATTCTTTCATATTAATTAATTCCTGGAGAAGAACAAATCGTGACGAATCTGTCGAGAAAAGAATGGGCGAAGCATTTGAAGATGCATCTGTTGCCATCACAATTAGTTCTTTAACCAATTTTCTATCGTTTTGCATTGGTCTCACTGTACCTTATCGTGCTATCTACATTTTCAGTCTTTACAGCGCGATATCAATTTTATTCGATTATTTCTACCAGATATTCTTTTTTGGAAGTCTCATGGCTCTAGACGGATACAGAGAGAAAGTTGGTCTCAGTGCTATTTTCTGTTCTCCTACAAAGCCTTCTTCATTAGGTATGTAAGATTAATTATTAAGAATATTGAATTAATTATATATACATTTAATAGAGAGTTCTGTTTACTTTTTTCGTAGATAACAAAGATATTGAAAACGCAACTGACATAAAATATGAAAATATGATAATCAAGTTTTTTCCAGAGACGTTAGCACCATTCTTGCATAAACGAATAACAAAAATATCTGTATTGTTTGTTTTTCTTATGTACTTAGCTGGTGCTATTTGCGGAATGAAATTTATTACGACAGGATTCGATTTTAATGTGATATATTCGTATGATTCTTATTTGAAAAATACTGTTTCAGTTTATAAGAACTATTTTAATAAATATCGAAATACAGTTCAAGTTATTGTTAATACAACTTTGGATTATTCAGATCTGGAAGTGCAAAATGACATCGAAGATATTTTGAAACGTTTCGAATCATGTCCATTTATGTCCAATTTTTCAACTACACAAAGTTGGTTGAGAGAATATCTGTCGTTTAGTAAAAATCCTGTATTCAATTATCTTTTAGAAGATTATAATTTAAATAATTCTTCACAATTTCTTGAAGGATTGAAAAATGTGTTTTTGAAAATAAAACCCGCGAATATATTTGAAAATGATATTATTTTCAATAAACAAGGCGAAAAGATTATTGCCTCTCGCTTCCTTCTCATGTCCTACGATGTTCCCGATTACATCTCAGAATCAACGTTAATGCGTAATTTACGTAATATCGCAGATAGTAGCAAATATCCAATATATATTTATGGAACTCAATTTCCTTTCTTAGATATTGAAATAAATATAACTGAAAATATGTTAAAAAATGTTGGATTGACATTAGTAGTAATATCTGTAGTTATCTTTTTGTTTGTACCTAATATACTTTTTGTTGTCTGTATTGTTTCTACTATTGTTTCAGTAGTAATAGGTGTAGTTGGTTATATGTCATTGTGGAATGTAAGCATTAGTTGCTTAAGTATGATATTAATAATAGTAGTCGTTGGGCTCTCTGTTGATAGTGTGGCTCATATAGCATACGCATTTTTATCTCCTAATGAAAGTAATTCTCTCGATCGCATGAAAATTGCATTTCATATAGCTGGATATCCAATTTTACAAGGATTTCTATCCACATTTCTTTGTATTATGCTTTTTTATTTCGGTCCATCGGAGATGTTTTTTATAATGTTTAAAATTCTGTTAATAACAACGATAATTATTTTAATTCATAGTTTGATATTTTTACCTTCAGCACTGAACTTTTTAGATTTAATACACATTCCATGGAAATTCTCTCTGAATTTGTAATTTATATCGCAGTTATATTATATATTTCAGATATTTACATATTATATTTACAAGAATCTTGGATTTTAAGTGCAACAAGTTAGAAAATACGAAAAAAAAAATTATAATTTATCAAAGTTATATACCTATAATACCATTGTTAAAATTAGAAAAAATGTAAACATAATACATAGGTTGCTTTTATTGAATAATTAACTAGAATTAAAACGAATAAAAATTATCCTTAAAAGTGTTATGAATTATTTTAATCGAATATCATTCTTAAGTAATCTTTTATTAATTGAAAGAATTATATAGTAAAACGCTGGGCTTAGTAATAGGACTATTAATGTATTGTTAACATGGGCGTAGCCAGAGTTTTGTTATGGGGGGCCTAGTGGAGGCCAACCTGACACAAAATTGAATTATTTCAAATTATTGTTCATTATTGGGCACCGAGCAAGCCGTTCACCTTTTTTTAGTATTCAAAACTTTTATTTTAGCTTTAGGTTTTTACAAATCGACTCAACACTTTTTCGGCTGTGATTTCCTGGGGAGGGCACCAGGTTCCCTGGGAGGGGCCGTGCCCACCCAGGCTCCCCCCTCGCTACGCCCATGATTGTTAACATTAATTAATTCTTTACTTCACAACTGTGTACATAGCTAAACATTGGACATCTTTAACATCACTATTCAGGAATATCTTACAGGAATAAAGAGTGATGTTAAAGATGCCCAGTGTCTACCTATACACCCAGTTGTGAATTAAAGAATAATTAAAAGAAGACAAGCAATGTCTTCTGCGAACAGAGAGAAAAGTTTTCTATATATTCGATTCTCTAAAACCTGTCTAAAACAGAAAAATGCAATTAATTAAACGATTTTCATTGATGTAATTTTGAATTGCCATGCCTCTGTGCATCTTTTCGTATAATTTCTGTGCTCTTAAAGAAAGTATTCATACTTTTGTTTTCAGATAGTATTCTGACACTATATATGTCAAAACCTATATATAATTGATGCTAGCACTTCTCCCTTGGCTAATGCAATAGAGGCTGTAAAGAATTTTGAGAATAACTAAAACGGAATGAGTCGTGTGTTGGAAAAATTATTAAACATCCTGCTTCGGAATTCTAGATAGCATAATTAGTTATGTCGCCTGCTTAGCTCTAGTTTGCACCTGCTCTTTATTAAGTGTTACTTCTAGTCAGATTCTTTTTTTACTCATTCCAATCTGTGAATACTAACAGAACCAACAGGCCTCTTAATTAGGTTCATGGTAGTGTTGGCTAGACCCACAATAGGAATGCCGTATAGTGAGGAATAGAGCCTGGGTAGCAACAGATTATACCTCGAAAAATTTCTTGGGTTTTTCGAGGCACGGAGTCGATTCCGAGTACTCCAGAGAGGAAAGTTGATCTTTTATCCGTCCTGGCCATCCGGAGGTTCCGGCCGCATCATTCCTTCTAGATTTCTCTAAAGTAATTAATATAAAATTTTTTAATTGTTAAATTTTTAAAATGTAGTACAAAATGTCTCCTAACATTTCTAGTGTTAAATTACATTAATTAATTAGCAGGTAAAAAATAGATTTTTTTTTTCATTTTGGCGATTCTTTAACGACTTCTGATTTCTGTTATTATCACCCACACTTTCATCTAACATGTAATTCGGTTATGAATCTCCTTGCATTTTCATGAATAACTCGAACGATGGCTTTAATATTGTCTTTTGTCAATTTATTTGTTAATCTTAGAATTTCAGTCATCACATTATATACTATAACTTCATACATATTATTAACAAGATGAATAATATTTTACAGAGATAGTTCGATTTCGTAGTTCACTAGCATTGGATCAACGTTATTACACTCTTTTGAATGCAAGAATGACTGATTTCAATGGCAAAGACAATCTCTATATTGTACATTATATTATCGTTTTGGAGCAAAATAGTGTTTTAGTATATATTGCTAAATAATATAATTCATTTATGTTTAAATAGCGATTTAAAACTTAGTAACTATTACATATTTCTGTAAATGTTTTCGTACCTCATATCATGTATGAATATTAGAAAAATAAAATTTTATAGTGTTTAATTCATATTGTCTACATTGAATATATAAACGATTTAGGTATATATATATATATATATATAATATACACGTCATTCAGGGTTATATATACATATATATTACACGAATGTATACAGAATTTAAAGATATATACGTATTATACTAATACATACACGTCATTCAAGGATATATAAATATATATATATATTACACAAATATATACACAATTTAAGATATAGATATTGTACGAATATATACACGTTATTCAGGGATATACAGTATATACAGCGAAACCTCTCTTAACGAGTATTTCGCATAACGAACAAATCATATTGTGAATAAATGAGTTGCTTAATGAGCGACGTTTTTCTCATAACGGGTGAGGAGAGGGGGAAGTTCCGGATTGTGCCCATGCTTCATCAGTGTATGTTTAGCACTCGTTCCGCTAGCATCTTAGGGTCGAGTTATAAACTCCGTAACGTAACCGTATTCGTAAATGTTTGCTACACTGCATATCTGTAGCAATAGTTATAAAATATCGTAAGGTTGTTTTCTAATCCTTTAAGGAACAAACATTTTTTACGGCTTACGAAGCATTCCATCGCGAGAATGCTCAAAATCATCGGCTGATGTTGCCTGATTTAACACTATAATTATTTATTCATTTTATCATTTCTCTATTTTCTTTTATGACCAAAATAATTCTTATCTTAAAATTTTATATTGTTTAGAGTAGCATTGCCAGTCAAAAGATACGTTTTAACCAATTTGTTGCTTCCGGCACAACTTCCGATTATATAGCGACTGCCTTAGCTCATGTGCAATTCGTCAATTCGCCGTATCCCTACCATAAGTTTGGTCGATCAAAAGTTTTCTTACCGAATACGGTACGACCATATGGTTACGTTACGGAGTTTATAACTCGACCCTAAGTGTCGCTTGTGATCATACATTTTATTCAAACTTGTTTTTAGGCTTTTTGCATATAAACATCAACAACCGTAACCTGTTATATAATAAAGACGCCAAACAATATGCCAAATTTTTGGGCTGTGTAAAGTCTATAATTAAATACAGTATAATTTTTTTCCAATACAGGTTATATATAAAATATTTGAGTATTTTTTTCGGGATAGAACGCATTATCGTATTTTATATTCATTTATATGGAAAAAATTGTTTCGCATTACGAGTATGATTCTGGAACGAATTATGCTCGTTAAGCGAGGTTCTACTGTATATATATTACACAAATATACACGATTCATATATATATATATAACCCCGAATATCTTATATATATATATTCCTGAATGACGTGTATATATTCGTACTAGCTGTTACTCGTGGCTTCACTTGTGCGGAATTTGCAATTTGATAGAAATAACCTCCCCTCGGTACTTCACTAAGATTCTCAATTATTATTATTAGTTGTTACTAATTTGGTAAAATTACTGATTCTTGTTTGTTTCAAAGTTGTTTCAAATAAAACCGTTCTTCAGGTTGAGACTTAATCCTCTCCCTCTCCTTCCCGGGGGAAAATTTCAAAAAATCCCTTCTTAGTGTGCATTTTCATGACGTGCCCTAACTGTGTACCAAATTTTACCTCTTTAAGTTCAGCAGTTTGCTCTGGGCGATGATGAATCAATCAGTCACCCAGTCAGTCTGTCAGTCAAAACATGTAATTTTATATATTTAGATAATACAGTAGATCCCCCTATAAAACCGTTTCCTATAGTTATGATTCCTATAAAAATTGTGGCATTATCCGTAAACAACGGTAAAAATAACTCCTATAATACGTAAAACGTCATCGGGCAGCCNCACTCACCACCTGAAGCAGACCTCGGTGGAGGTCGAAAGTACTCGTGGAACTTAATAGTGAAAATAACCCTCGTAAAAAAGGTTTTTTCGTGGATCGTTATGAAATTTTAATATGAGTTCAGATGAAAATTGTTGATATAGGTGTTATATTACTGAAATCTAGCAAATTTTATTAATGATGATAGTGACTGATGTGTTGTTTTCTGTTCTTGTATCATAACAAAACAATGACCTTTTGTATTGTCATCATGCTTATTTTAAGAAAATTTAAACAAAATCTGGCTTAAATTAGTAATTGAAAGTTTGTTTATAATGACAAATATAGAAACAAATAAGTAGTTTGTTTTATAATACTAAATGTTTAATTTAACAGTATGAATGTATTGAATGTTTTGTTTCAGACTGATGACACCTAACTCATGATTTATACTAACCTATGTTTGATTAGGCATGACTTAAAATGGTTTAAAAAAGGTGAAGTTTTGTTTTACTTGATAGTTTTAGTTTAACACATTATTTTAAAATATTTTTCAGCATTTTATTTTTAAATTACATATTTTCATTGATAAAATTAATGTTTAAGCCTACGCTAACTATTAAGTTGTTGAAATTGTATCAACAACTTAATAGTTAGTTGTTTCCAGCAACTAACTATTTTGTGTTGAACATCAAAAACTTAAGTTGTTGATATTCAAAACATCAACAACTTAAGTTTTTGATGTTCAAAGCTGGAAATTCTCTGTTTTATACTGTATTCATTGTATAGTTACTAGTACATTGTAGAGAAAACTAGCTATACAGTAGAGCTTGCATACCTCATTAATACATGGTGATAAACATCTCCAAACTCGATATCCAATATAATAAGACACCAACCGAATGCTGTAAATTAATCAGGCTATTTTTAATGCTAAATTCTAAATAAATTACGTAATTAATTTGGCACTAGAGGTAAGCGTTAGGCGCCATCTCTTATTAAAATTAATAATTATAAATAAATTAATTAATTTAAATAATTTGGAACCGCTGGGAGAAAAAATCGGCCCGGAGCGGGACTCGAACCCACAACTCCTGCTTACCGTGCAGATGCGTTGCCAGTTACGCTATCCGGACCTCCGATCCGATCTCCTCTTCCAGCGTATAACTATGTAACCATCGACGGTTATTACAATGCCGGCTGGGGACACATTCAGTGCCCACGTCCTA